TTGACTTCAGGTTTCACTCCCCATTGCATGCCAATTTTCCTCTTATGCTTTTTCTTCTTTAAACTTCTCAGAAAATGCACCTAAATATATGTTTGAATATTTACGGGTTTTTTTCTCCCATTAACCTATCTGTAAAATCCACGAAAAGGGGAACCACATCATTTTTGTTTACTTCTATGTTTCCAGTCCCTAGCACAGTTCCTAACATATAGGAAATACTTAATGAACATCTGTTGGATGAATGAAAGACTGAATCAATAAGCAATACACAAAATAATGTGTGATAGACATAGACTACATGTGTCCTTAAATTATGCTGTTAACAACAAACACCTTCATCAAATGATTTCTATCACTTGTGAATTTATTCATTAAATATTTATTGAGTGCTTGCTGTGTGCTGGATATTGTACCAGGTATTGAGAATTCATCAGTAGCATTAGCAGAGCTCTGGTGCTATAGTCCTGGCTTTAAATCCCGGCGCCACCAATCACTAGTCATGTGACTTTGGTTGCTTAAACTCTGGAGACCTAAGTTTTCTCATATGCAAAAGAGAATAATATAATAATATGTGCCTTTGCAATAATCTTACATGTTCTTCACATGTACCCCAAAACCTAAAATGCAATTAAATATATATTTTTTAAAAAATGTGCCTTTGATAGTTGTGAGATATTACTCATATCACTATAATACCAGAAATTAAAAATTTAATAGTTCTGACCCACATCACTTGTCACAGAGAGTAGTTCATAAGTAGACATTTGACAAATTTATGCTACATTTATGAAACTTTCTACTCTTTAGGTATACAGGGGTTTTAAGTACTAAGAAACATCACACTCTACTCATCATTTCTTTTTATTATTATTATTATGCTTTAAGTTCTGGGGTACATGTGCTTGCCATCTATGCAAGAAATACTAGGTGAGGTGAGGTTTTAGGGAGTCTCACCTGTAAAGTAGTTTTACGTGCCCAAAAAGTAAGAAATCTGATTGTTATATTATTATTGGCATCCTTGTCATTATTTATAATAATTATCTTAGGAAAGAACTTGCCATTTCTGGATGGCCTATAATCCCAAAATAATAATCATAGCAACCGCCATAATAATGAGCAATATAATAACCATTCATTAAGACAGTGATTCATAATCTTAACCATTATCGCATTATGTTTAATTATGATGACAGTGATGAAAATTACTATTTCCAGCTATTGAAAATGTAAGGAATTTCAGAACTCAAGGGAGGAAAGTAAAAATTAAAAAAAAAATGAAGCTTTTTTCTTCATAATCTCTAGAATTAACTATTAAGAAATGAAGCTAAAAATCCAAAATTTATCTTGATTTAACTCACACGTACCTGCCTGATCTCTGATAGAGCGACATGAAGTTTTCAGGTTGTTTAAAAACCTATTTGTGTGACTTTTTCCTCCCAAATTTCCACAAAAACATTTTGCTCAGTTCCAAACCAAAAATAATTAGGAACAGTCCTGAAAGAGAATGTGCCTGACTTTTGAAAGTCATAGCATGTGTTTATGACAAAGCTGGAGGACTGTGTTTGGCTTGGTCATCGCAGGAAACATCACACAAGAACAGGGGAAGACAGACGTCTTGGCTTCCCAGAGAGCTGTAAAACCTTAATGGCCTTGTCTGGGAAGAAAACAAAAGAGAATGTTTTGTACTGTTGGTTGCTGAGAGTCCCTGTAGGCATGACAGAAAAACCACAACTATGCAATTATAATTGCATTAGTTAAAATCTAGATGTGACTATCACATCTACTTAATGTACATATCTATTTATTTACAATTAGCATATATTACTGATTAAGTAATAATAAATATGTTGGAAATTATAGAATTCGAGTGATGCATATAGCTTTTCTGCTCCCCACCCATCCTTCAGGACCAACCTCCTCAACCAGAGAAAAGTGTGGAAGAAGCCAGGTTTTCCTGTGTGCCAGGCATTCTGACAGGCAGTGGGAATACAACAGCAAGGAAGGGACTGCCTCCATAAACTTACAGAGTGAGAAGAAAATAGATAATTAACATAAAATCACAAACCACTAGGAAATGTGCCGCAAACCCAGCCCTGAGGAGGGTCTCATCAGGATTGGGATGGCAAATAAGCCATCGAGGTTGGGACCTGGAAGGAGGACAGGAGTTTTCAAGCAAAGGGAAATCAACTAAGTAGCAGAGATTTCAAGGGAAGGAAGCAAAAGTATTTGGAGTATACACAGGAGCCCGATGAAGGGCATTAGAAGAAAACAAAGGGGTTTTATTTGTGCCCTCAGTGCAATAGTTAATCCAGGAAAGGGCTGGGCGCATTGGTTCATGCCTGTAATCCCAGCACTTTGCCAAGGTGGGAGGATCGCTTGAGTCCAGGAGTTCAAGACTAGCCTGTGGGACACCATGAGACCCCATCTGTGCAAGAGTGATATTATCAGATCTGTATTTTAGAAAGACACACAGTTTTGGCCACAGTGAAGAATGGAGCAGACTTCTGTTTCTGACAGCATGGCTGATTAGATATTTTTCAGGTTCAAATTAACTAGATCTTGCATTCAAAGTAAGTTTTCTCATGTGTTTGTTTTGTTTTAATTGCTGGGCTTTCAGAGAGTTTGGAAAAGGAAAACTAAAACATACCATATTTTAGATCGGTGGTTCTCAAAGTATGGTCCATGGGCTTCTAGTATTTCCCTTAAATTTTTCAGGGAATCTAGAAGTTTAAAAATATTTTCATAATAAGCAGTTGTTGCTCCCCCCACTGTGTGAACATTAGCAGTGACTGTGCACAGGCAGCTGTGGATGACAGGGCATCGAGGCCATGGGGCAAGCCAGGAGTCTGTTCATCTCCATACACCACAACTGGAAAAAAAAAAAAAGGCCAAATTCACATAAGAATGTCCCTGATTAGGCAAAAGATTAATTTTGTTTATATCCACCCTGGAGAGTTGGTCTTTTCAGTATTCTCGGCAATGACACAGGAAGTTTGCAGAAAGTACTTATGTCACTCAGGAGTAGAAACATTGTCTTCAGGAAAAACACATAATATTCCTTCAGTCATGAACTGAACTAACCGCTTTTTTCATAAAGCATCATTTTTACTTAAAAAAACAACTGAAAAATTGTAATTATCCAGACCTGGGTGTTTGTCAGACATTTTCTTGAAAATGAATGAGGTAAGCTTGTCACTTCAAGAAAAACAACTGACAATATCTGTTGCCGATAGTAACTTGAAGTTTTCAAACTAAAATTATAATTTTGCAAAACTTGTACCCCCCACAGTGAGCTTGGCAGCTTCTCAATAATGAAAGACTTTTCTGATGCAAGCAGTGAATTCTTAACAAGTGTGCTTTCTTCTACTATATAATAAAATGTGCCAATATGTGAAAGATCTGCATACCTCAGTGAAAACCGATATTGTCCAAATTGACCAATACATGAACTGTAAAGTCACACACAGGTAAAAGATCTATCCAAATTGTAAGATAGACAAAATGTTTTTTAATATAACAGAACAAACAATTTCATTGATAAAAGTACAGATTTTACATTACAACTAACCTTCAAGAATCTACCACTTACAGAGTTCTGGTGCTGTATCAAAGAAGAACATCCACAATTACCTGTAAAGACTACTCAATACTCCTCCCTTTTTCAACTACATCTCCTCTGTGAGGCTGGATTTTTTTCAGATACTTGAACTAAAACCATATATTACAAAGACTCACTACAGCAGCAACTATGAGATGCCAGCTATCTCTTATTTGACCAGACATTTAAAACATTTGCAAAAGAATAAGATAATGCTACTCTTCTTATAAGGTTTTTACTTTGTTTTGGAAAATACAGTTTCTTTTTCATAAAACATTATTTATATTAACCTGGAATAAATTTACTAATATATTTAAATGAATTTATAAACAAATGTAAAAATTTCAAATTTTCATTTTTAGTGTGGTAAATATCAATGATATAGCTCACATTAAGAAGCTCTTTGGGGTAATTAGTTTTAAAGATTATACTCTTAAAGTATAATCACAAGACCAAAGTACTCATAAAAGGATCCTCAAAAAAAATATTTAAGGATCTTAAAACCAAAACATTGAAAACTGCTATATTGTATATCTGAGTAAAATTATATGCTATATTGTATATCTGAACCTCAAGAAAAGGATTTTAAAGGATTCTAAAACCAAAATCTTGAAAACTACTATATTGTTTATCTGAATAAAATTATTATAGCCCAAGAGTCATAATCTGAAAGCACAGCCCAAGATAAAGATTTCTGTGCAGATATTTTTTGGCAATGAGATATCAGAACCACAGGGAAGGAAAACCAATTGAATGAGCACTCATGGGACCTTCTGTCCAGCTCTATGAGATTCAGCCATGCACTGAATAACAACATTTCAGTCAGTGATGGACTGCATATATGACAGTGGCCACGTAAGATTACAAGGGAGTTGAAAAATTCTCATCACCTAGTGACATCATAGCTGTCATAACACCGTAGCACAATGCATTACTCATGTTCTTGGTGACGCTGGTGTAAATAAACCTATTGTGCTGCCAGTCACATAAAAGCATAGCACACACAATTATATACTGTACGTAATACTTGATGATGATAATAACTATGGTACTGCTTTACGTATTTGCTATACTGTACTTTTTATTGCTATTTTAGAGTATACTCCTTTCACTCATGAGGGGGGAAAAAATCTGTGAATCAGCCTTGAGTAGGTCTTTTAGGAAGTATCCAGAGGAATGCGTTATTATCATAGCAGATGACAGTTCCATGGGTGTTAGCGCCTCAAAGATCTTCCAGTGGGAAAGAGGTGGGAGTGCAAGACAGTCATATTGGAGATCTTGGGCCTGTGTGGGCCTACGCTGATGTGTATGTTTGTATATTTGTTTTTAACAAAAAGAGTTTAAAAATTAAAAATAAAATAATTTTAAAATAGAAAATAAATTATATAGAATAAGGCTATAAAGAAATTTTGTTTCAGCTATACACTGTGTGTTTTAAGCTAAGCATTATCACAAAAGAGACAAAAACTTTAAAAAGTAAAAATATTAAAGTAAGTGAAGTTAATCTACTATTTAAGAAAGAAAAATTTGTAAATAAATTTAATGTAGTCTGAGAGCATCTTGTTTAAGAAGTCTACAGTAGCGTACAGTAATGCTCCAGGCCTTTACGTCCACTCACCACCCACTCACTGACTCATCCTGAGCAGCTTCCAATCCTGTAAGCGCCATTCATGATAAGTTCCATATATAGGAATATAATTTTTAATTTTTATACCATATTGTTAATATATACTTTCTATGTTTCGATAGAAAAGGTATACTACTGTGTGACAGTTGCCTGCAGTATTCAGTACAGCAACGTGCTGTACAGGTTTAGAGTCTTGGAGCCATAGGTTATACCATGTAGCCTAGGCATGTAGTAAGCTCTGCCACTTAGGTTTGTGTAAGTGTACTCTACGATGCACAATGACAAAATTGCCTAGTGACCCGTTCCTCAGAACCTGTCCCTGCTATCAGGGGCACATGACTGCACTCCTTAGAACTGTCACCCATGGCATGAAAGGCAGAAAGCATGAGTCCCTTAGCTTCCTTCCCTCATTGATCAAGGTAGTCTTTGCAGCCCTTGCTCTTCATTTTCTGATTGCAAGAGCATAAGTGGTCACCCAGTTCCCCGGAGCATCCGACACCACAATGTCCAAGAAGACCCAGGTCAGAGAGTGAGAGGTATGTGGCATATATTCCAAGGCATGGTTGCTGTAAGGTTGCACCTGGGTGAAGCTGCTGGAAGGCTGTGTAGGCCTGATCCTTGCAGAGGTGGCTGGAGTTAAAAGATAAGGGTGAGAGAATGTGAAGTACGCAAAGGGTGCCACGTAATCCACCCCCTCGAACCCCTTGATCTCCTTATACCCTCCATTAATTTCATTCAGTCATGGAGTCCCTTTCAGAACAGTGGCCAAAGTAATCTCCTCCAAAATTAAATACAAGAAGGCTAATGGAGCAAAGGCTAACGGAGCAAGCTGTGGACTGCAGACCTCTACTGTAGCTATGGTCCCAAGGCTATACGATTGGTATTATCATCTTCTTCATTCACCCCTATTCTTGGTTGGCACTTGGGCTGGTCTAGGTTGTTGATCAAAAAGTGTGACCCGAGGTGGGTGGATCACAAGGTCAAGAGATCGAGACCATCCTGGTCAACATGGTGAAACCCCGTCTCTACCAAAAATACAAAAAAATGAGCTGGGCATAGCGGCATGTGCCTGTAATCCCAGCTACTCAGGAGGCTGAGGCAGGAGAATAGTCTGAACCCAGGAGGCAGAGGTTGCAGTGAGCCGTGATAGCACCATTGCACTCCAGCCTGGGTAAGAAGAGTGAAACTCCGTCTCAAAAACAAAAAACAAAACAAAACAAAAATGTGACCCAGACTTTTGTAACTGATATATCTGTGTCATAAATGGCCCTTTCTTTCCAGAATATGACTGCTGAAAATGATCATTCAATTAGTTCACCAGGTACTGGAGCAACACGACACACCTCCATGAATATCCTTGCCTCATTCTATCCTAGCTCTACACAGCAAGCAAGGTCCATTTCTCCCCAGCCCCTAGTGACCCAATGGTAGTCATAGCTTCAAGTTCAAAGGAACATCATAATTTGTCTCCTGGTGGAAGCATCCACCCCCACCCCAACATGGGGATCCAGAATACCTAATCTAGTAATATAATATTCTGCAAGTTGGGGAACCAATCCCACTTCCACTTCTGGGTTCCTGAACTCACTTGTTCTAATAGAATTAAGCACCTTTGATTAGCCATTGGTTTACCGCATGTACTGTAACCTAGAGAACAGTGCCCAATCTGCAGGGTCCTCAAGCAGACCCTTAGCTGAGTGTTTAAGAGGTTACTCCAACTTTCTGTAAATCTTGTTGATTCTGGGCAATGAGATAAAACAAGAAGAAAAGCAAAGCACACTGCCATGTGTGTACCTACGCAACTGTCTTGCATGCTCTGCTCATGTACCCCAAAACCTATAATCCAATAAAAAATTAAAAAATAAATAAATAAATAAATTAATTAATTAAAAAAAAAAAAAAAAAAAAAAAAAAAACAAGTGGATCCTTATGGTCATGTATCCATTTTTGCAACTCCATTATCACGAAATCAGTCTCCTGGTTCAAAGCATTATATAAGATTACATGTTGAGATACCTGGTATTCCGTAAGCCACTGGATTACAGTGATGGCAGAGTCAAAGGGGACATACTCATATATAGTGTAGAAGTCACACCTGCATCCTAGGTAGAGGCATTTAATAGAATCGACCTGCCACTAAGAGCCTAGCTGGTCTCCTCGAGGAATTAGACATCCTTTTGTGGAATCTCGGCCTCAGCTGAGGTCTTTGCAGGATAAATATAATCCCTTCCGTCAAGGGAGGGAGGTTACATCTGCCAGCCAGAGGGGCCCAGGGGGAAGTTTGAGATTCAAGATTCTCAGGCTCATCCACTCAGATATTCCATCCTGGGTCTCCAGGTCTCACTCATTTTTTATCAGGACTCTGATTCTGATTTGGAGACCTATGGAGGTTATACAATTGGTTTTATTAACTGTGGCATTTAAACGAATTAGGTTTGCTGATAGAACCCTTGTGCTTGAATTTTGTCTTTTTTAAAAACACATTTTAGTCTCTTTACAAGTAATATTAACTCTTTTATTACTTATAGAAACTTAAACTTACTCTATATATTTTTATTTGTGATTTTTAGATAGGTATAGGTTCTATTATTTGATGGTGGTAGTAACAATATTTTCAAAATTGTATTTGGAATTCTATTTAGCTGACTGGTCAAGTAAAAATCTAATGCATATTTTCATCTCCCCTTAGTAAGATGGATACATTTATTATTCCTTTACTCTCTATTCACTCACTTCATGGTTTTTGTTGACATAATTTGAGATTTTAAAAACAGAATTATTTTTTAATTTGTTATTGTACTTTAAGCTCTGGGGTACATGTGCACATCCCGCAGGGTCGTTGCATAGGTGCACACATGTGATGGTGGTTTGCTGTTTCCCTCCCCCGTCGCGTACATCAGGCGTTTCTCCCTGTGTTTCCCCTCTCCATCCTCCCCTCCCCACACTGTCCCTTCCCTAAGCCCCCTTCCCCTTACCTACCCCAGTGTGTGCTGCTCCCCTCCCTGTGCCCATGTGTTCTCACTGTTCAGCACCAGCCTATAAGTGAGAACATGCAGTGTTTGGTTTTCTGTTCTTGTGTCAGTTTCCTGACAATGATGGAGAAACAGAAATATTATTGTTTCTAGTATTGTTTTCGTCATACGATGTTCATTTATCAAAAATAATTGGTATCTAGTTTTTTAGTTTATTTAAAATAAATATTTAAACATGTTTATGTTTAACAGATTTCAGTGCTTATATCTGACATATTCTTCATGTATGATTCATACACATAGATTTTACATTCTTAATTCTTAATATTAATTTGCATCTCAATTATACTGAGATTGCTCCTATGTCACATCTTATTTCTTTGTTCATACATGTATTTTACACTTCCTAAAACTGTCATTCTTGTTGCCTTCAAACATTACAAGGTTTGCATTTAATACACAATTTGGGGCACACATTTTCCTCAAATACACTGTGGTCTTCTCCATATGTTCTGGGATCAGAGTTACGATTATAAGTCTGAACGCTACCTAACTACTGATCTCAAAAGAAAACAAAACAAAATCCTACTTTCCTTATTTTTCTTTGTAACTGAAGCATGTTTACCAAGACTTGGCTAAATGCAAGCCTCTTTTTATCAGCTTTGTCTTATAAAAAAGTGTTTGAAATCTACACATGTAGCTCTTCGTTCAGCACCGGAAATGTTCTTCTATTACCCATAAATTTATTCAATGCATCCTTCTCTTTTTTCTAGTTTCTTAAGGAATTACGACTATTCATGTGCTATTAATGACAAACAAAAAAGCCCCTAAAGCAATAATCTCTCTTTTCTTCTGTAACCCAAGGGAGCTCCAGTTTATCCTCAGCAATTGTGGTTTTTTCACAATGTCCATTCTCTTCTGCGTTGCTTCCGATGTTAATTTCCATTCCACTATGCCATTTTCAGTTTCCCAGAAGTTTTTAGCTCTCTTTTCATCTTAAACTTTAGCCTTTCCAAACTCAGCTTGTTCTTCTGTAACTGCTTTTTCCTCCTACATTGAAGAATTTGGGGGGCTTGCCATTCATCTGAATCCTTCATACAGCCATCCCTTCACTTTTACTTCAGTATTTTCACTCAGGGTCCCCATCGGCTATGACAGCTACACACCCTGGGTAATATGAGAATGCAGAGAAAGAGACAGGCCAACAATTATGAAGGGGCCAGGGAACTTTCCTGGAAGAACGGAGGTTTTGCTCAGCCTTAAACAATGAGATCTGGTGGCCCAGAGGAAGACAATGGTGCTTTAAGAAGGAGACTCACTTGCTCCCACCTACATTTTAGTTGGGTAACTGGCAGTTGTAAGGAGGAAGTGCTCAAATCAGGAGCACTCATAAGGAAGCTGCTGAAATTGGCAGGTGAGAGATGAGGTCTTCGACACGGTCCATATTCGAAAGCAATACTGGGACAGAGGGCAGCTTCAAAAAAAAATGTAAAAGGTTAAGTGACAGATGTCTGATTATAGGTAATACTCAGAGGAAGAAGGAAGACTCCAGAATGACTAGAAAAGGAGTAGGCTTGTGGGAGGACAAGTGCCAACTTTATACATTGCAATATATTGCATTTATTATTCACATGGAATTTCTAAGTGGAGATGCCTATAAAGTCTGAAGCCTGGAGGAAAGTCTGGCTGGAGAAACACAGGGTGAGGTACCTTGGACTACTCTGAGCTACTGGTCCTTTATCCATAAAATGAGGCTAAATGCCTACCTCACAGGGTTACTGTGAAGGCTCTGTGAACCCTGATGCCCACCCCAGCCTGAGCCTATGATGCTTCAGGAACCATGATGTCCACCCCCTTTATCATTTAGACATGGACATTTTTAGTTCTTCTTCAAGACCCTATTATAACTTGTTCTTTTCCTTGATGGGCACTGCCTTGGCTTGTCCTCTTGGGTTTCTGAATCTATTTCTACATTGGATAGCAATTGCCTGCCATTTTAATATCTCCTTCTATCCAAATTGCTGACTGTGGTCACCGAGACACTTGTCCAAGTCAGCCCTCCTTCCCCAAAAGGGGCATCTGGGCAGTACCTGGCATAGAGTGAGAGATAAGAGAGGAGCAAGATTTCCCTTGATGTACTTTTTTAGCCCATTTTATTAGGTAACAGTGCTGGCCTGAACCAAGCAGCTGTTATTCTGCCCCCACTCCTGTTCATCAGAGTTGGTCAGTAAGATTAGGGTAGAAAGAAGTTTTAGGTGGACCAGAAAGTCTGGAAGTTCTGGAAGATCAGGTTGATCTCCATGGGCAAGAATGACTAAAAATGGAATATTATGCTACAGAAGCCCTTGGCGATTGGAACAACCTTCGACTTTGAATAAGAGAAGGCTTTGGGAGCAAAAGGACACCAATGTTAACCTTTGTGGTTTCTCAGGGTGCTCTATATGGTGTGCTTGGCCTGGGCTCCAGAAGTTGCCCTGGAGAGCTTCTTTGCAGCCTCCAGATCATCTCAACCCCACGTGGCCACTGGGATACAGAGAAGAGGCAGGAGAGGAGGGCAGACACTAGGTGAGGATGCAGCGGGCATTGTGATCTCCGATAGAATCCTATTGAAAGCATTAGTGCTGGAAAAAGGAATTCCCTTTTCCCCAAAGTAAAGGTGTTCTTGTCAACCTTCTCCTAAGAGGTAGAAAAGAGGGGAAAAGAAAATTAAGAAAAGTACGTAAGTAAAACACTGAAAGTTGTCACCACTTGCAATGATTATGGACTTTAGCATCATTTTAACTTTTCCTAATTCTGATCCAGAATGACGCACTGCTCCCCAGTAAGGACACAGATGAGATTCTGCCCTACTCACACTAAAATGTTTTGTAAGGTTTGGAGTTTTTTATGTTTCTTTGGATATTAGCCATAACATAGTTGTATCAATTAGCCCAGACTTAAGAAATTTGATGTTGCCTACAGAGGGGAGGGAAACCTTCTCATATCTTGATTAATTTAGTTAGTCGTTCAGAATATAGAACACAGGGGGTACTATGATGTGCCTACCATATGTTTTATATATCTGCTCATATACGGTATTCTTATAATATATAAACATATATATTACATTTTACATGTAATGTGTTATATACACGGAGTTTAAAAGAAAATTGGCATCTTGGCTTTGAAATTTTCTATTTGCAATGATGTTGGATGAATTATTTCACAACTTTAATTAAACCTTAGTTTTAAAAGTTTCAATTTTAAATAGCTAAATTAATAGCACCTGCCTTGTGTGTTATGAGAAGACATGTATACATTTATTGAAAGATTATAAATGCTCAGAGTTAAGTTTCATCACAGTAAATGACATGGAGCTTGAATTGTGTAGTCAGAGTGACCAAACCTCTCTCTTCTTCCTTTCTCCCTCTCTCTCTTTCTTTCAAAATGCTTTAAAATTATTAAAAATTTAATTTTGCCCAGGTGCAGGGGCTCACACCTATAATTCCAGCACTTTGGAAGGTTTAAGCCCAGGAGTTTGAGACCAGGGTGGGCATTATGGTGAAATCCCTTCTCCACAAAAAATACAAAAAAATGTATCTGAGTGTGGTGGCATGTGCCTGTAGTTGCAGCTACTCAGGAGGCTGAGGCAGGAGAATCACCTGAGCCCAGGAGGTGGAGGTCACAGTGAGCCAACAAAGTGAGACCCTGTCACATAAAAACAAGGAAAGAGATAAAGAAAGAGAGAGAGAGAGAGAGAGAGAGAGAGAGAGAGAAGGAAGGAGGGAGGGAGGGAAATATAATTTTTTCAAAAAATAATGAATTTGTGACTGCTCCAGAAAACCAAAAATAAAGGCATTCCCCACATACTTACCTGTGGTTACTTCTCAGTCCCAGCTGGTTTTGATGATCTTTGTGCATATTTTGGAATCTGTGGGATATAGATATCTCTAAATTTTGGTAAAATAGAACCTTTCTTGAAATAAACTAAAACACAATAAAACACCTACGTAAGTAACTGTCATGTTAGAATGTGAAGTGCTTAAAGCATTGCTTCTGGATAGCCAAAATAAAAACTAGCATGCTTGTGAAGGAACAGCAGCTTCGTGTACAGGAGGTCACCACAGGCCTCTTTGCTGATCCCCAGTGCACCTCCCAGAAGAGCCACCTCTGATTCTGACATTCTACCCCATGTATCTAGAATTCAGCTTGAGGATTTTCTAGCATATCATTTTGTTTAAAACGATGCATTTGAGTTTTGAGGGAAAATGTAGATTTTTCCTGTATAAGTATCAGATAAAATGTGTTGAAAGATACATATATTCTATGATTTGAGAGTATGAAATATAAAAAGAATCTTCACTAGAAAATATTAGCCAGGGAGATAATCTATAAATTCTATGAAAAAAATCTTTGGTGAAAAGCACACACAATAGAGGAATCTAATAGTAAAGACACAGCTTAAGACAGAATTAGTAAATGTGAAAATAGAGCTGAGTGATTCACCAAATACTTATAATGAAGTACTGGGAAAAATGAAAGTTAAAAGATATGGGGGACTTAGGGAAGAGCCATATACATCTAGCAGGCATTACAAAAAGAAAAGAGAGATTCAGAGAAAGATTATTTTTTAAAAGGCTGAAAAAATATTTTAAAAGATTCTTTTCTGGAGATGTAGAAATTTCCAAGTCAGATTCACATCTAGACACACCATAATAAAATTGGAGAACATTGAAAAGAAAATCACTCAGTAACTACAAGAAAAAGATTGTATACCAAGGAACACAGGGTAACAGAAGAATTCTAGTAATAATCAGTAACAACATAAGAAATTATATCTCTAACAATAGTATCCCAAGCAATTCAATCACGCAGCATTGAAAGTGAAATAAAGGCATTAAGAGACATATAAAAAACGAAGATTTCACTCCAGTAAAAAATCCACTGGATAAACTACTAAAGAATAGAGTGGAAAGCAAAAACATAAAAGTAAAAAAAGAAAACAATAAAGTAGTGGTAAATCTAAATAAACATTGGTTGTTAATGTTAATAATGATAATTCTTGTTAGTTAAAAATAAAACTAAAATACTAGATATTAATAACAGAATTGGTAGAATTTGGAATAAAATTAAAACATTAATTTTCTTGTCTTGAGATGGGATTTGAGATATTTAACAAACAAATTTGAAATTTAGGTAACAATTTAAAAATTTAAAACATTAATTTTCTTGTCTTGAGATGGGATTTGAGATATTTAACAAACAAATTTGAAATTTAGGTAACAATTTAAAAATTTTAGCCTCAATCCTAAAATAAAGGAAATAAAATATGTAACTTATAAATTAGTGAGAAAAAAATAAAGAAAACCTCATCATTCATAAGAAGGTTTTAAAGAAGGAAAGAAGCAAAGAGAAGGCACAATAAATAGGAAATGCATATTAGTATGATAGAAAAAACTGTAACCGTTGGCAAATACAACTAATATAAAATAACAAATTGCAGAAAATGACTATTTTTTAAAGACTGAAAAAATTAGATATGATTAAAGCAATAGCTACAACAAAACCCAGCTATATATTTATATAACATAAACACTGTGTCAAGAAAAGTGAAAAAAACAGAGTGGTTAAAAATATGGGTAAATTATAGATCAGTATTGAGCATATCATTTGTTTAAATGTTATCATTTGTTTATTATCTAAAAGTCACAGGCTATAAAAATCTTATTAAAATATTAGCAAATCAAATTTAATAATAAAAAGAAAAATAATATGTTAGAACCAGAGAGAATTTATCCAAAGAATGCAAAGCAGATTCAACATTTAATAACCTGGGCCAGGTGAGGTGGCTCCCACCTGCAATCCCAGCACTTTCGGAGGCCTAAGAAGGTGGATCATCTGTGGTCAAGAGTTCGAGACCAGCCTGGCTAACATGTTGAAACCTTGTCTCTCCTAAAAATACAAAAATTAGCCAGGTGTGGTGGCAGTTGCCTGTAATCCCAACTACTTGGGAGGCGGAGGCAGGAGAATCACTTCAGCCTGTGAGGCAGAGGTTGTAGTGAGTGGAGAATGTGCCACTGCACTCCAGCCTGGGTGACAGAGTGAGGTTCTGTCCAAAAAAAAAAAAAAAACAAAAAACCTGTTGACATAATTTTCCCCATTAATATATTTTAAAATGTATATGATTATTTCAATATGTAAAAGTTATAATTAATAAAAAGTCATTTTTTTAAATTAGCAAACTATGAATAAAATAAAATTTCAAATCTAATGTGGTAGTCCATGACCAAAGTCACTCCAGGCCTCGTGACACAGTAGAAATAAAATGCTCAAGAATGAAACAGAGTGCTTGGAAAGAAAATTTCCTACCTGACAAGAGATAGAGCTTGGGCCTAATGTGAACCCTCTTTCATCCTTACTGTGTACAAGGCATTGAACTTATAATTTCTGAGGTCCACTGACATGTGGATTTCTCATTTTGCGTCGCTGAATTAACCACCAATGTAGGCACAGAACTCCGAGTAATAAAGGAGTCGTTGGGAATCTGCATCTGCTTATTAGGGTTACTTATCTTCTTAGAGAGTTTGCTTCATGGTTTTGTAGGAAACTAAAATTGAAAACAAATTTGAACTGAATCTGACCCAGTATTATTTATGATCTTGGTGAAACTACAGGCGCCTTCTCTCTAAATTGAGAAAAACATAGTATTCAACACAGTACAAGAAGTATTAGCCATTGTGATGGAAAAAAGGAGACATTAGAGGTATGGGATTTGAAAGGAAAACACGAAATTGTCATTACTGGCAGACAACATGATTGTCTCCATAGGGAAAGGAAAGAATCTATTAAAAACAAACCTATTAAAATTCAATAGCTTTTTGAGGTTTCCAGTTTTAATAGCCAAGTTACATGTCAATAGTATTTTCATGCATCAGAAATAGCCAGTTATAATGTGGAAGAGGAAAAAGAATCCAGTTCACAATAGAAACAAAACTTACAGCATACCTAGGAAACTTTTCTAAAATTTTATTCAAGACATTAGTGGAAAATATAAAACATTAAGTCTGAGTGCTGTGGCTCATGCCTATAATCCCAGTGCTTTGAGAGGTTGAGTTGCAATGATCAGTTGAGGCCTGGAGTTTGAGGCTAGACCGAACAACATAGCAAGACCTCTGTCTCCACAAAAATAAAAATAAATTCATGAAAGGAAAGAACATTCATGGATGGAGAAAATCAATGTTTCATGAAGGCTAGTCTCTCCAAATTCATATATGAACACGATGCAATTTCAATCAAAATTCCAAAAATATAGTTTTGTGGCATTTTAATGACATTCTAAAATTTACACGGAAGAGGAAAGAGCTGATCCCCGCTTTGTCATCTCCCATCTCCTCTTAGTCTTCCTGCAAACTCTGCCATTCCCAAGCAACCACTGATCTGCTTCACGTCACTACATATTTGTTTGCATTTTCTAGAATTTTATATAAATTGAATCACATAGTATGTCTGTGGGTGAGAGATCGCATATACATGTGGGGTGATGGGTATGTTCATTATGTTAATTTGATGGGTGGTGATGGTTTTATATATATGTACATACATCAAAACTCATTAAATTTTATACTTTAAAATACATGCAGTTTATTGTATGTCAATTATACCTCAATAAACCTGAAAAATAGGCAAATAATATGAACAGTTGTTATCAGTGGAACAACATCAAATAGTAAACACGTGTAACTTCGCATTCCACTAAGGACAAACCCATTAAAACAACAGTGATATACTGCTTCTTGACACACAAGTTTGACACAAATAACTGAAAATATCAAATATTAGAGAAACGAGTTGTTATTTATCACTTGGGCGTCATAACTACTGCTTAGAAGAGCCAACCAGTGATATGTGTTTCCGGTGAAAATGCATATTTCGTAACACCCAACGTTGCATACTTCCAGCTGTATGTGTTAAAGCAGGGCTCCTCAGCCTTCAGGCCCTGGACCCGTAGTGGTCTATGGCCTGCTGAGAACCGGCCACTCAGCAGAAGGTGAGCAGCAAACAAGGCCCTGAGCTCTGTCTCCTGTCAGATCAGCAGCGGCATTAGATTGTCACAGGAGCTCGAACCCTGTCGAGAACTGTGCCTGCAGGGGATATAGGTTGCACACTTCTTGTAAGAATTTTAATACCTGACAATCTGAGGTGGAACAGTTTCATCCTGAAACCATCCCCCCCCACCCCGGAAAAACTGTCTTCCACAAAACCAGTCTCCGGTGCTAAAAAGGTTGGGGACCACTGTTTCAGAGGATTATTCCACATAATTATTCAAGGAGATAGGAACAAGAATGTATAGCATTTTTGTAATAGTAAAAAATGATGAACAGCCTGAGGAAAATCGTTAAATAATAATATATTCATAAGCAAGCATCTATACAGAAGTTAAAATGAATAAACCGAAGCTATATATATATATATATTTAATACATGCATTAAATATAGTCCTTTATTTTTATTTAAGCTCAAGGCCTCAACTCACCAACTCCAAAACAAAGGGGTCGTGCTTCTTCATGCCTAAGAGATCCCAGAGCTTTCAGTCTCTGCTTCTACATCAACGTTTCCAAGCCTCCTCTTCTGCCAACACTGGACGGCTTTGAGCATGTTCCTGACACTGATGAAGCAGGTTGATTTGTAAAATCATGTGGAAACTTCAAAAAATAAGGCAAAGCGACCATTAAGACTACCCATATATAACTGAAGTTTAAAAAATAGAATCACATAGAAGGCATTTTCTAGGGAAGATAGTGATATATAATTTCATAGAATTACACAAATGTGTCAATTGGCACATAATAAAAAATAAGACATTTCAGATAATTTTCTAAATTTTGCCCCATTTTTAAAGAAAAATTATTTTTTGCTTAAACAATATTTCTTTTAAAAAAGTGTCACCAACATCGATTTTCTTCATTTATTGTTTTAATCAAAACCACATTATCTGTAAGTACTAATGATTATCAAAATGTATTGGGTAATTCCAACATGCATCATAGGACTTACAAGATTTAGTTGCCAAAAGAAAAATAACTGAATGCGATTCCCTCCTACTGTCAAAACAAACCATTACTTTGAAAAGTTTCAATATTTTGGGCTGCTTTGATTTGTATTGCTGATTTTATTCAACAAATCAATGAATACATTTGTGATTTCTAAAAATAATGAATACATTTAAAATACTGTAACTGGACTAGTTCAAGTAACAGGAAAATAAAGAACTTTTTGAACAATAAATAGTGTTAGGACAAATGATTACTAAATTGAAAATGAAATCCCTAACCCACAATCGCCCACAACACTAAATTCCAAATGGACTTAAAAACTAAACATAAATATGTAATTTTGTATTTGTATATAAAAATTTAAGCTATTTTATTATAGTTTATCATATTTTATCACTATTTTATTGGGGATGATTTCCAGAGCAAAATACTCAGAATTAAAGCAATGTTGGATTTGACAACGTGAAAACAAAACTTTATGGTATCTTTTGTTATTATAAAATTAACATACCAGTGTCTAAGAGTTAGAAGTATTTATAACATATTACCAATAACATATTTCGTTTTACAGTATAAAAGAGTCACATACAACCTAAATTAAAAAATCAAAACACTGGAAAATATTTGGAAAAAAAAAATCTAAGACAATGAAATAAAAATGGCCAAAATGTATGAAAAAATGTTCAAACTCACCAACAAATGAAATCAACTTGTCACCTAAAACATGGTGGAAATGTTTTACAGGTTGATGCTATTCAGTGCTGGCGAAGACAAGGCTGAAGCCAATGTCCATGCTTTCTTGTGTAGGTCGAGAGAGTTAGAGATGCAAATCATCAAGGACAATTTTGCAGTATCCTTCAAAAATTTAAATATGTATTTCTTTTGAGACATTGAAAATGTAATGATAGTTTTTAAACTTAATTATAAATAGCCTTTGAAGTTCCCATGTCATGCTAAATCCAGATTAATCCTACAGACTCTAATTAATGCAGATAAGTGTGAAAACGCATAAATATTGCAGACTCTTTGCTTTCACTCTGTGCATAATAGAGAATGCTTTAAGCTCTGCTGGACAGAGCTTATTTCCTGACTGTCTTCTATCAAAAACCTCAAATGTTATTTTCATTCTGTTAAAACAAAACAGGCAGGGTGTGGTGGCTCACATCTGTAACTGCAGCACTTTGTGACACCAAGGCAGTAGGATGGCTTAAGCCCAGGCGTTTAAGACCAGCCTAGGCAACAAGTGAGACCCTACTATGTTTATACAAAACAAGTAAAAAATAAAAAATAAAATTAACTGGGCATGGTGGTACACATCTGTATTCCTAGCTACTCGGGAGACTGAGGTAGGAGGATTGCTTGGGCCAAGGAGTTCAAGGTTACAGTGAGCTGTGATTTTACCACTGCACTCCAGCTTCGGTGACAGAGCAAGACTCTGTCTCTAAAACAAGGGCGGGGGGAAGCAAACAGTTTGTTCAATATTCATTACTGTTTTCACTTGTCCTACATCCACTCAAAAATAAATTAAGATATCTAATTAAAGATTTGGAAATATGGCAAAGTAAGACAGAAGACTGAAAACATAGAGAATAAACAAGGTAATATTACAAAGAGAAAGCAGAAATTTAATTACTGTGAAAAAATAAATACCTTACCATTTTATATTCTTGCTGAAATCAAGACATATAGCATGGCGCCAAGATTGTAAAACGCAGTGAAAGAGAGGAGCATGATCAATTGCATCATTCAGCGTGTCCTTAGAACAGCACAAAGCAGCCACTCAGGAGAACCTCAGCTTGTCCTCATGCTAAGGCTGGGAACACATTTCCCCCAGAGCTGTCGGGAAGAGGCTAAACAAGGAATGTCCCTATAGCAGTGCTACAACAAACAAAGTGATTCATCTTGGTGGGGCTGTTCTTGTACCTTCTCCTAACGTAGGAATACACCATCATTCTATAAAAACTACTAAGTGGAGGGCCAGTTCATGCAGTCCAGGAAAAATGGCTCTCTAGCAAACTGGCTTTAACCAAGACAAGATTTCGCAGAGGTTGCAAACAGAGTACCCTTGAGCTCAAATTTGGCCTGAAGTATATTTTTTTGGGCCGCAATAGTAGGGAGTTTAAATTGAGCAGACATAAAAATTGGACAATTGCATGTAAAAATTCAGATAATTCAGCATTCCTTAAGGAATTGTAAGATCTGGCAATAGCAGATTCACATGGCTGCAATTAGTTGGCACCGAGTACCAGGCTGCCCCTTTGGGCCAGGGGATAGACAGTAGATTTTCCAGTCCTCACTAATCTGCTTAACTCATCTACATTACCTGCCTGGACCCTACTTAGGCATTTTAATTTGTGATCAATTTTTAGACTGTCTTGCAGTAATTCTCACAGCTGGCTCCTCAACAAAGACAACCATGGAGATGTTTAACAATGCTGATATCTGGGGTGACTCTAGACCTGCTGAATCAGAATCTTAGTGAAAATTCCAATGAAAATCTCAGCAAAAGTCCAGCTGTCTATATCTTTACAAATGTCCAGGTGATCTAGTGCCCAGCCAAAGTTGAGAAATATGAATCTAGAGAAATGATTTATTAAGGCAGCCCTCTCTAAATACTTTCTCTCAACAGAGCTGCTGATAGCCATTGAAAATTGATGAGTTTGATGTTAGACCTCAAGAACAGTTATTTTATGCTGCCAGTTAAATGAGCCATGAGCTGTAACAACCGGATTACCTAGGCTGGGGTTAATACATGTCAACACACCTCTAAAGAGTACGCCTTGTCACATCTTCTTGAGCCCAAGAAAGTACTGGTAAGAGACAATTTTTTCCAAGACATAATGTGGAGCTGCCTCAATGCAGGGACATAGAGAAGTTACCTACCCATCCTCCCCTACAAGGAACATGAACACATTCCAAAATAAAAACCTGCTTGGCTGGCAAGAACTCATCACCAGGGGCATTCCCTGCCCTGGAAGATACACTGACGGATGAGTCAAGAAGAACCATCCCTCCCAGCATTCCTCAAAGTGGAGTGATTTTATCTCCTCCCTATCCTTGCATCTCTCATTTCCATCCAGCGCCTATGAGCTATGGCACCTGGAGACATTAACATGCTATGGAGACCAGGGCGCTCCAAGCTACTTCTCGCCGCTATTTCATTTTCCTCTAAAAGTAGAACCGCACCATCAAAAAGAAATAATGTTCTCCTAGTAAAGTTTGATTTTATTTATTTAGTAATGAATGAATTACTAAATAAAGTCCTTTGAACACTGACCATGTTAGGTGCCGGGGAGACAACAGTGAACGAAGAAGGTAGAAATTCCCACCTTACTGCTGAGGACCTTCTAGTGGGAGGCACGAAGAAAGATGATAAGAGAAAGTCACCGACAAATAGTGAAAAGGAAAGGGGATAGTTAGAAAGCATTAGGGAAGGAATTGATTTTGGATAGTGTGACCAGGGAAGGCCTCGCTGAGACGACATTTTAGTGAAGAGCTGAATTAGCTTAGGGATGAAACGTGCAGACATGGAGATGAAAAGGGGAGGAGCATCCAGGAAAAATAAATGCAAAGGGAAAGCCCACACGCAGGGCAGCATCTGCAATTCCAAGGAAGAGCAAGGAGGCACTCAAGACTTGCAGGAATTCATGTTGGAAAGGTGATGTCTCTATACCAAAGCACCGATGCATAAACCAAACTCGTGCCAGGCGGATATGGTGGGTCCTCTGATCTCCATGTTGGCTTTTAAAAACTGCTTACACCTTCCATCATCAAGACAGGGTTTCAAAAGCAACTTTTGAAAAATCTTTTAAAAATCCCGTAGCAGGCAATTCTTCAAGCCTAAGTATTTGTCAATGGTGACCTAGATGAAGCACCTACACTTCAGCCCAAAGTCACAGCAATGATATGAACCACATGCAGAGGAGCATCTCACAGAATATTGCTCTGCCTGGAAGCTGCAAATGTGCTATCAAAAAGCCTCAGTAAACCGTAAGCAGTCTTAGTTGCCAAGGCCCTCTCCACATCACAGTAACAATGCAGAGAGACACCTGCATCCCATATGCATTCTCTGCTACAAATTTGAACACATTTTTATGAGTTTGATTTTAGGATTTTTTTTTTGTTTTGACTTGTTCCTTTCCTTTCATATTTAACATGACTCATTTTTCAGGTCTCAGTCATTTTTACAGACCCTTGAAAAGCAGCCTCCCAAGGACAATGTGCCTTCAGGCTAAATGCATCTGGTCTGTACCCAAGGAGCTGCTCCATCTCAGGGAGACGGCTGACTCCCTTCATGGGAGAATGCCTTACCTGGGATCTAATCCTTCTCCAAGAGAAAGGTCTCCTCACAGCCAGACAGCAATGCTTTTATCAGTACCTTCAACTGATGTCAAACACTTTGCCTGCCATTGGGTGATGTAGAATCTTAAAATCCATAAGACCATCCCTCTGGAACATGAGGCTGTCTGCAGTGTCCGACAGCTGCCACACCAAAAGGTTATGGCAGTAGTTTTCAAACTTTTTAATCTCAAGAGCCCATAATGCTCTTACAAATTATTGAGGACCCCAAAGACTTTGTTTATGTGTGTTATACTATCAATAATTTTTGTATTAACAATTAAAACTGAAAAACAGCAAATGTTTATTTATTAATTGATTTACAAATAACAATAAATCTGTTTCACTTTAACATAAATAACATAAAAAATAACTATATAAATGAACTTTAGAGAGATTGATGTTGTTTTCCATGTGTGTTGTCTCTAGGTATGAATTGATAGAAGACAGCTGGATTCTCATATCTGCTTGTGCATCAATCTGCCGTGATATATTGTTTTAGTTAAAGCATATGAAGAAAATGCTGTCTCGTACAGACATACCACTGGAAAAGCAAGGACCTTGCAGGCAGTCTGAGATGCCTGGCAACTCCCGTAGAGTCTCAGGACGCAATGAGCATTGCTGTTCTAGGTGACAGGGATGAACTGGAAGTGTTGTATATGTTGACAGGGTAAATTTCACAGTACATTTAGGTTATGTGAGAAAAAGAAACCGGAAACAACATGCACAGCATAATGGTCTGCACAGCTTTCAAGAGAAGAAAAAGAAAAATGGATGTGTAGCATTTGCCAATATCTGTGGTGTAAATACTTCCACTGTGTCTCCCAACCATAATGACTGTATTTCACAACTAACTCACAAAAATCCCTGGAAATTCAACAGCAGTTCTGAGGAGCTGGTAGAAGCTGGTTCTAGCACACTGGAGGAGACCTAACACCAAGGGAGTGTCAGTAGAGAGGAGCTCTTCTTACCTCTGATCATTTAATAAGGCAAACTCCTTTGTGCATTATTTGCATAAACAAAAATGCAAATAATTAACCATTAAATTTAATATCCAGAAAATGCTACAGAGGCTTAATCTAAATTTATCACTTCTGAGGACACTTAGAAGAACAAATTAGACTTCACTTTAAGCAGGTGAATCAGTCTTTCTTATTACAAGTAACAGAAATAGGCTTTGTTTACCTTATAAAGACACAGGGTGCTCATTGAAAGCTTATATGGCTTTTAGACTTCAGCCTGGCTGAAGAGCCAGGCTTGGAAAATAAACAGGTCCAGAGGCAGAAAGAACAATCATCCTGAAGAAAAAAAAAAATGGGCCAGAACACCGTGCTATAAGGAATAGATTGCTTCCTTGAAAGGAATGATATGGGGCACAGTCAGATGTAAAAAGTGAAAAGGGATTATCAGTTGACATTGGAACAGATGACAGAAATAAAGATTGCAGAGGTGGTAGTGATATTTCTTAAGCCCCAATTGGCCAATAATTTAATTTGTACTCAGTGAGGAGGATTCCTTATTTCCGCTCACCACACATGGTTCATTCCACAGAATAGATCCTCCCGATCTATGGGTTCTGCACCCATGGATTCAACCAACCAGGGATGGAAAATATTGGGGGAAAATGCATGGCTGCTGTGCTTTATATGTACAGACTATTTTTCTTGTCATTATTCCCTGAACAACACAGTATAACAACTGTTTACACAGCATTTGCATTGTATTTGGTGCTATAAGTAGTCTAGAGATGATTAAAAGTATACTGGAAGATGCTGGTAGGTTATATGCAGATATTATGCTATTTATATCAGGGACTTGAGCACGCAAGGATCTTAGAGACCCTGAAACCAGTATCCCACAGATAGCAAGGGATTACTGTATTGTCCACCCCTCCCTTACTGATTTTTATAGAAATGCAACTTAACATACGTCTTTTGGGTTTTGTTAAATAAAGGTGGCACTGCATATCAATTCTGCATGAATACAGCTCTTTCCCAACCAGTTGCATCAATTATAATGAAGAATTTTAAAGAGTAATAAATGTTTGGATGGAGATAAAAGTGAAAGTTAAACTTGTGTGGTATATTCTGAATGACTTCTTTTTCCACTTCTGTGATTTGAACTCCGTATTGGGTCTTAGGCATTATCTACAACAGGAAAAAAGGGAATATTTTTCTAGGGAGGACCGCTCACAGAGAAAGAATTAAACCGTAGCTAATAACTAAGGGCCCCCCCCACCTTAATTTTATTTTTAGGTTTTGTTGATAGAACAGTTTAGTTCTTTTTTTTTTTTTTAAGGTTAAAACGGGCAACGCTGCTGCCCTCAAATAATAAGCAGATGTTATGTTAAATACCTGAATTTCATAGTTTGACCAGCAAAGGAAAGGGGAAAGAGAAGGGAAGAAGCAGGTGCTAACTTAAATTTAGCCTAAATCTGCCTCTTCACATATCTTAAGTTCAGCCTAAAGGTTTCTTAGTACATAGTGAACTGTACCCTAACTGAATGTGTCGATGGGCTGTAATCTACTTTTGTTCCCTGAGTTTGGGCCAAAGGTGACCAACTATTCAAATCGTGTTCAAATAAGGCAAAACCCAGCTGTTGCTACAACTCATTCACGTTTTCTGTAGGTCACTTTCCTTATTCTGTCCATTAATGTTTTTTGACCACGTGGCTGTCTCTCTAAAACTTACTAAAATAAAAATAAAAATCTAAATATGTCTCTCTAAACTTACTCATGTTCGAGTGCTGCCTGATTAGCAAATCATTCTTTGCTCAATTAAACTCTGTTACATTTAATTAGTCTAAGGTTTTTATTTTAACATAAGAGACAAATGCAAAAGGAGACAGGGACCTACAGAGATGGAGAGAGCTCAGTGAAAGAGAAGGCGACAGCGAAAGGAAAAGGCCCAAGAGGGTGTGCTCCAGGCCTTGGAGGCAGAATGGAGAATGGGCCTGGCCCAGGCACAAAGCCCAGCAGAGGTCTGCTGTTACCCTCCCCTACACTGCGGATGGTTCTTCCTTAGACCTCCCTCCCAGGGGCTTTGCACTCCGCCACGCCAGCCAGAGGCTCCAGACTGAAAAGTAAATGCACTGTGAAATGGGCATTCTTCCGTGGAAGCTAAGGCTGCAGGGCTTTTCCTTTTTATTTTCTTGGCTATTGGTCTTGCTTGGAGAAAATGGTGTGTGTCCACCTGCCTTTCTTTCTTTCTCAAGGGCTCCTTTGTGAACAGAGGATTTGCAGTAATTGGCCAGGGTGAACATTTCCGGACTTTCTCGGAACGCAGTCCTACACCTGCCCTGAGCTCTGGAGCTCTGCATGGAAATTTCCCATAAAACCTTTCCATGGTGCAATTTATAAATCACCCTGTACGGCAATATTAAATTTTATAAATCAGCTTCCTACCTATGAGTACTTATTAGACAAACCTTGTCCATATCTTGTCAATGTTGCGTCTTTAGCTGTGTATGAGGGTTCCTGCCCTCTTGGAAATACTAAATTATAGTTAATGGTAATGGATCATCAGCTTCTACTGCTAGCCCTGAGTTGTCCATTTCACTGTTAACTTCAGACAAGCTTAAGACGTACAGTAAATATGTTCTTAGAGTATCCTGCACCCCTTCATAACTGCTGGGGTTGTCACACTCAGCAACTAAAAGTATAGACCTCCCAGTTAAATTTGAATTTAACAAACAGTATATACTCTTTTAGTATAAGTAAATTCCAAGTATTTATCTGAAATTCAGCTTTAACTGAGTGTCCGGTATCTTACCTGACAACCCTAATCGGCACATATTACTCTTGTAGTTAATTATGCATTTGCATAATTATTTGTTTAAGGTCTGTCTTCTCCCAGTGACCTGTGGCTAAGACTCCACTGGTCTTAGTTAACAGTCCTATGCTCAGCATTTACCCCAAGGTGGCCACATGGTAGAAGTTCACGAGGAATTTGTGGAGCCAATGAACACCTATTCTGAAAGCATGATCATTGTACATCTTTGGAGAATATCATCCCTTCAACTGCTCAGTCAGTGACAAACACAGTATTACCTTAAGATTCAAGCCAAGTGGTAGATTTTGTCCAAAGCTCACTATTGCTCACTTCTGAAGTAGTTATGCTCTTGCTACAGAAAATAGAAAGAGGAGAGACACTGTGTGTGTGTCCTTCCACACAAATATATCATATGCTACAATGGCAGTAAAGGACTTGCAATGCAATCCATGGCTCTCAGACTAAAAGGAGTGAGGAGAGATGACATGCACTATCTAAAGCCCTGGTGTCAGGTGACAATAAACAGCGGGTCCAAAGGCCTGGATGCCCAACACGGCTAAGAGAAGACCTGCCTTTGGTTTGTTACGAGAAAGCACAAGTGGAATTCAGCGTCCTGCTGATCCCCCAGAAAGAGTCCTGGCCTGCCTGTAGGATAGTAATAGGAGAAAAGCCAGCTCACCACATCGCTGTGCAGGGATGGGAAGCTTGCCACGGGAGGGAGAAGGTAACCAGTCACGAGCTTCCTGACTCTTCTCCCCGGTCCGTGCACATTTTCTCTGAGTAGATTCCTCTTTGAAGTCCCCAGAGTGCTGAGTCAGGAGAAGCATAAAATGGATCAAGGCCACAAAAGGTAGCCTGTAAATCTTAGATCTTACTAACTTTCAAAACTTCTCTTGATTTTAACTAAGCAAAGCCAGCTCCATGGTAATAATATCTTACCATCTCAGGGCCCTGAGGGGTTTTTATAATTCCTATTTGCATAAGTGCATTACAGTTTTCAAAGCTCTTTTACATGCATCGTTTCAATTAATCCCCCACAGCAACCCTGTGAGAAGGGTACGTGTTTCTTTCATAGAAAAGGACACTGAGGTTTATGGAAGTATTTGCTGCTTAGTAGACACTACTACTGCAGGACTCCAACAGCATTTGGACTCCTGAATGCGTGGTTCGTCGTTATGCAGCATCCCTCAGCGTCTTTCTGCTCCTTCCATGGGAGCAGACCCTGTTCTCATGCTCAGCTCTAAGGCACTTTTCCATGCCCCCAGGTGGCAATTCTCTGGGGACAATCTGCAGAATATTGGTAGGAAGACATGATAAAACTCAACCATTATCATTTGAGTATGAATTAGTTCATCATTTTACCACGGAAGAATAAAGGGTAGTTCTGCCTCTGTTTCCTCTTCCATCTCCCATTCTGTATGGAAACAGAACACAGACTTGGAGAAACAGAAGGTGAGAGCAGCAAGAGGTGATGCTTGAAGACAGGAACTCTGGAGAGGAACTTACCTCCAGGCAATTGGGCTTTGCCAAGTACACTCAGGGCCAGTGGAAGAAGAGGCTGAGCTACAATTTCCTGTGGAGGCAAAATTGGCAACCAGGTATAAAAGCCGTGGGAAAGAGGCTCCAAGTCCCTGAGATCCAGTGAGGAATAGAGGTGGTCATGGGACCCTGGCTCTCCAGAGATAGTCCTCCCACCTCAGGGCACCCTGGGGGTTAAATAAATGGTAAACTCCTAAGAAGTGGTAATGCTCCCAGTGCTATCTCAGAGTGAGCTTGTGGAGGGCAATGCAACTTCCCACTTCTCAGGAAGAGGTTCTGGGTGGTTCTCCACCAAAAAACAAAACAGTAGCCAAAACAAACCAACAACAGCATTGTAAGGAGGGAAAGTGGATGGGTACCTCGCTCTGGGCAGGCTCACCCTCCACTGTGCTTATTTAATTTGTTTAATTTTTTTATTTAATTTGTTTCAGCATTGTAAGGAGGGAGAGTGGATGGGTACCTCGCTCTGGGCAGGCTCACCCTCCACTGTGCTTATTTAATTTGTTTAATTTTTTTATTTAATTTGTTTGTGTTAATTTGTTTAATTGTATTTATTGTGCTGCTCTGCCCATGGTTCCTGTTTGAAGCAGGGATGGAGAGAAAAGAGAGAGGGGGCAGAAGGAGGGTGAGTCCCATAATACTGTGGGGTGAACTACCAGGGACAGTGCCCAAGCAGGCATCAGCCAAGAGAAGCTAGGGGCCTCCCATGCAAAGAAAACATGCAGAAGCGACGTCCCTGCCACAAGAACCCCAGCAACTGAGACTCATGCCCCTGAGCAGTCGTAGGTACCTGCCACCGGGAACACAGCACACAGCTCTCAGGGCATGCAGAGATGCAAACAAACTCGGAAGCAGAAGCATCCAAGATAGGAGGTGACACCTTTTTCTCTACTCTCTCCTCCCTGTCCCACCTGCCACCGGGAATACAGCACACAGCTCTCAGGGCATGCAGAGATGCAAGCAAACTCGGAAGCAGAAGCATCCAAGATAGGAGGTGACACCTTTTTCTCTACTCTCTCCTCCCTGTCCCACCTGCCACCGGGAACACAGCACACAGCTCTCAGGGCATGCAGAGATGCAAGCAAACTCGTAAGCAGAAGCATCCAAGATAGGAGGTGACACCTTTTTCTCTACTCTCTCCTCCCCCCATTATCAGAAGATGGAGAAATGCAGAGGGAGAGGAAGGAGAAGGAAATGAGCAGACTCCTCCCTCTGTGCTCTGAGGACTCAGAAGCCTACACCCAAAGTGCCGGGCATGCGTGTTAAGTCCAATGAGATCCTGAAAGGGTTTCCTCCTCATCAGTGGTTTTCTTTGTTTTATTTATTAAATAAAATAAAAATAAATAGAATTTGGGGTTTTTTAGTGATATTTCTAATGTTTTGTTTATTGTAATTTAGTATGCATATGTTAGGAATGTTAATTACAGAATAGCTTTGAAATTTCTGTGTTAAAGAAATTTTCCAGCATATTCAAAAGTAGAGAATATGGAACAAACTCTCATGTCCCGTTTGTCTGCCCTCTAGCTCACCCATTGCCAGCGCACACCAGTCTCACTTCACTGACACCATCACCCAAAGCCTTCCCAACACTCCTCCCCTAGCATGAATTCCAGCCAGATCCCAGACATAATTCCATTCTGTCTGTAAACAGCTCAGTATATATCTCTAAAAGACAGGGACTCCAGACTAAACATTTTATATTACTTGTAAAAATGTTCTGCTGATCTTTCTACTGATTTGACCACCATGGGATTTGCCTAAGGTATACACCTAGAGCATGGGAAAGGAAATGCCCATAGCTTATGGTTGAGGGCCATGGTTAGAATATAATCAATCACTTAATAATATGTGTACTCCACTGAGCTTTAGGCTGCTCAATAAAATTATTACAACTTGGGTACAAACTACTTCATAAGATTGACACATGAGAACCAGGTGTAGCGGCTCATGCCTGCAATCCCAGAACTTTGGGAGGCTGAGGCAGGTGGATCACCTTAGGTCAGGAGTTCAAGACCAGCTTGACCAACATGGTGAAACCCTATCTCTACTAAAACTACAAAAAAAAATAGCTGGGTGGGGTGGCGCATGCCTATAATCCCAGCTACTTGAGAGGCTGTGGCAGGAGAATGGCTTGAACCCAGGAGGTGGAGGTTGCAGTAAGCCAAGATTGCACCCTTGCACTCCATCCTGGGCAACAAGATATAAACACTGTCTACAAAAAAAAAAAAAAAAAAGAGAGAGATTGACACAATGAGTTGATTCAGGAGCAAGAATGGGAACCTGAGGCATGAACTAGAGCAACATTGCCTTGACCTCAAAGATGGCAGTGTCTGTGCTAGAGAACAGTACCTTGGCCAAGGTGAATCCACCACCTACCTCTGTCAGAAGGAACTTTTTTTTTTTTTTTTTTGAGACGGAGTTTTGCTCTTGTTACCCAGGCTGGAGTGCAATGGTGCGATCTCGGCTCACTGCAATCTCCGCCTCCTGGGTTCAGGCAATTCTCCTGCCTCAGCCTCCCGAGTAGCTGGGATTACAGGCACGTGCCACCATGCCCAGCTAATTTTTTGTAATTTTAGTAGAGATGGGGTTTCACCATGTTGACCAGCATGGTCTCGATCTGTTGACCTCGTGATCCACCCGCCTCGGCCTCCCAAAGTGCTGGGATTACAGGCGTGAGCCACTGTGCCCGGCCAGGAGCAACTTTTTAAAAAATGTACTTTAAGTTTTGGGATATATGTGCAGAATGTGCAGGTTTGTTACATAGATATACACGTGCCATGGTGGTTTGCTGTACCCATCAACCCTGTATCTACATTTCTCCTAATGCTATCCCTCTCCTAGCTCCCCACCCTACAACTGGCCCCAGTGTGTGATGTTCCCCTTCCTGAGTCCATGTGTTCTCATTGTTCAGGCAATTCTATGAGTAAATTCAATTTACTATGAGTAAACACGTAGTGTTTGGTTTTCTGTTCCTGTGTTAGTTTGCTAAAAATGATGTTTTCCAGCTTCATCCATGTCCCTGCAAAGGACATGAACTCATCTTTTTTTGTGGCTTCATAGTATTCCATGGTGTGCAGCCAACAGCATATCTGGTTGAGATTTTACTACTTTTTACTTCTGATTTCAAATGAATCTTCAAAATGTGTATAGATGTATCAGAGTAGAACTGTCATTTCAGAGAGTGCTATAACACAGGCTAATTTTAAAAAGTGAAGGAAATGGGTAATTTTTCTACTGTGTGTATTGCTTACAGAGGATGAAGAGTTTGTACTCTCTAAAGAGTTCATTAAAGTTTTAGAATTCTATGCCTGTGTCATTTTGATGACTTAGCTTTAAAATAACACTTACACAGCTCCTCTTCCAGACAATGCAACTAGTTTTTGTATATATGGAAGGGAGGGATTGGGATTTCAACAAAAATTTCCTTCAGAATGGCAATTCCCAACCTCACAGCCTTAGACTACTAAGAAATTTATGAATTAGTAAATAGAGTCCCCCAATCTATATTCCACAAGCATTATTACTTTAGTTCTTATTTATATCCTATAAAATACATATTATGGATAATGGGCTTTTTGCATACATCTATTTTATTGAATAATTCCATGAGTATTAGCAAAAAATTATATGTTTTATAGACTAAATAAATTATATCTGCCCGTGTAGACTTAACAATGCCAATATATGTGGATATCATTTTGATACGTTTTTAAAGCTAATTTTAAAAATCATTAGTGGACTCATGGTACTTTCTCAACCAATGTTTACTTTAAAAGACATTTGGACCATATAAGAATTAACAAGACATTCTGTTATTTAAGTAGGAGCCTCATGTCAAAAGATATGGGAAGCACAAAGATGATCATGGAGTGTATGAATAAGTGCAGAGAAAAGAATTACCTGTACCTCAAAGGCCTCCATCACCAGAAAGCTGGGAGGGAAGTGTAGAGAAAATAGCCTGTATGAAAAGAGAACAGGGGGCCAGGCGCGGTGGCTCAAGCCTGTAATCCCAGCACTTTGGGAGGCCGAGGCGGGTGGATCACGAGGTCAAAAGATAGAGACCATCTTGGTCAACCTGGTGAAACCCCGTCTCTACTAAAAATACAAAAAAATAGCTGGGCATGGTGGCGCGTGCCTGTAATCCCAGATACTCAGGAGGCTGAGGCAGGAGAATTGCCTGAACCCAGGAGGCGGAGGTTGCGGTGAGCCGAGATCGCGCCATTGCACTCCAGCCTGGGTAACAAGGGCGAAACTCCGTCTCAAAAAAAAAAAAAAAAAAAAAAAAAAAAAAAGAAAAGAGAACAGGGACTGAGAAGTTTCGCTGACTGAAAAGTGCCATCTAAATAGAAAGAGTGGTTTTCATTCAGAGGCGAAGATGTTGAGCAATGTTTATTTCCTTCTTTAATCTTCTGGTCTCTGTCTTATTTTAAAATCAGTATGCATTATTTAGTAATCAGAAAAAACAATACCTCTATTTTAATTTTAAAAATAATAAAGTCTTTATAGTGGGTGGATTTGTTATTGTTGTATGAAGGGAATCCCAGGCCAGTGGTGGCTGCACAAACCGTGAGACCTCTAAAACAAAGTGAAACAACATGATGTTTTCTATGTGCCACGGACTCTCTGTTTTAAGCTTCAAGATTTGGGGGATTTTAAAGAAAATTAAATTTACATATTTCTAACTCAGAATGAAATCTTACCATTGTTCTTTTATTGAGGTGTCCTCTGATATCTTTGAAATCTTTTGAACATTTTTCTTAAAATAAGTTTGACATTTCCACTGACAAAAGTTAAGTAAGTCTACATTGCACCGTAATACAAAGGAGGCTTTTTTTGTCTTGATCGTCAATTGCAGAGAACATTTTCTCTGTTGCTTTATATATGCAGTTGAGAAATGATCGTGTACATCCTATCTGGAAAAGAACAGGGATATAGAGTGAAAGGAGAGGCATTCACATTCCAGATTCATCGATTGCTGGCGGGTTACTTCTCCCTGAGCCTTAGTGTCCTCAAGTGTGAAGGTACTTATGTCATCGTGTTGTAAGGATCCAGGAGCCTCATGTACGAAAACCCTGGGGACAGAAGCAAATCTCTGCATCGATGAGGACTGTCAGCTGCGAGGGCCAAATCTCCGCATCGCTGAGGATGGTCAGCTGCGAGGGCCAAATCTCTACATGGATGAGGATGGTCAGCTGCGAGGGCCAAATCTCTGCATCGATGAGGACGGTCAGCTGCGAGGGCCAAATCTCTACATGGATGAGGATGGTCAGCTGCGAGGGCCAAATCTCTGCATCGATGAGGACGGTCAGCTGCGAGGGCCAAATCTCTGCATTGATGAGGACGGTCAGCTGCAAGGGCCAAAAACCAACCAAAAACTGGCTGAAGCAAGCAGGGAAATTGGTTGACAAATCGTGACTGAGAACAGAGCTGAAACCACCCCATCAGGACCTCACTTCCATCTCTCTGGCTCTCGGCAGGCCTTCATCATGGCACCCCACACATTTTCAAGCTGATACCCCATCAGCTTAGTGAGTCCCCTTCTTTAAAAGTGCCAGGAATAATGTTTTGGGCCTTGCTTGTCTGCCTGGGGTTGTGTAAACACCCTGTGGTTTGAGGGTGTGGGGATGTGGGGATGTGGTGCCCTCATTGGCTAGCCAGGTTATGTGCTCACTCAATGTGCCAGGATGGGTTTACATGAACCAGGAGTAGAGAGGTCCCAGAGGAAAATCAGCATCTCTCATTGGAGGGGAAAATAATAGTATGCAAATGAAAGCACTAAAATACAATTCAGTTGTATGTAATAATTATACAGCAAGTATTACTTTTTAAACCATGCAAATTCCATGTAGCTGATTAAAATTAGAAGATTACTATTCAATACTCCTTGGGATGAGGTTGCCCAAGAGCATAAAATACAGTATCCTTTCTCTGAGAACCTTAGTAACCAAGAATGATGCACTATCCCCAGTCAGGAGCCCCAGAAGCAGCCCTGCACTGAAGGTCTGCATGGTACAAACTTATTAGGAAATGCGCTCAGGTCCCCACCTGTGGGGTGCAAAGGAGACAGGCCTGGTTTAAGGCAGGGGGCGGCAAACTTTTGTATCACAGGCCTGATAGTAAATGTTCAGGCTTTGTGGGTCATATGGTTGCTGTGACACTATTCAGTGCTGCCATTATAGCACAGAGGCAGCCACAGAAAATACGTCAGCAAATGAGCTTGGCTGTGTTCCAGTCAACTTTCACTTATGGACACTGAAATTGAATTTCCTATCATTTTTAGGTGTCACAAAATATGATTCTCCTTCTGAATGTTTTCAATCATTTAAAAATGTAAAAACCATTCTCAGCTCACAAGCCTTGCAAAAACAGGCAGCAAGCCAGATGCGGCCAGGGAGCTCTAGATTGTTGATCCCTAGTTTAGAGGAGGAAGTTGAAAAGAGATACAGCAGCAACAGGGCCTCTGCCTATCCCAGGAGTAGCCCCTGAGCTAGATGGCCCAGCTGAAAGCCTGAATCAGGACTTAGCTGTCCCTAAACCAAGGTCTTAGATGCAATATATCCATGGGTCTTCAACACAGGACAAGTCCCAGAAAGGGACTCCACTGAGATCTGTCATCTACAATACTTTTAGCACCTGGGGTGAGTGTCTCAGTCCTGAAGTGGCAGAGACCTGTGATGTGCCAATGACTAGGCCCATTATAACTGGTTCCACGGGCTATTTGCATTTTAATTTCAAGCAAATTTCATTACTATTTCCAGTGTGCAGTCCCCAGAATTGACATCCAAATGAGGCTCAGTTTTCTATGGAAAACTAAGACGTGAAGTAACTTCTTTGTGGCTGCCATCTTTTCAAGTCTCAATCCAGTCAGCAGGGAGTGCTACTAAGTATGTGTGGTCCCCTTCCAGTGTCACCTATCTAACATGGGTCGTTCACTCTGTACCAGGGTGGTGGTAGAGTTTTCCAGGTTTTGAGGGAATTGTCTAGATTTGAAGTCTGGTCTTTATAACAGGTATATTGAGGAACCAAACCTGCAACAGTTTTATTTCTTCTAAATACTGTTCAATATCTCACCACCAAATCCTCAATTCAGGACCCTTTTAACAAGAGCTTGGTCCAACTCTATGTTTTTCCAGCCACCGAAAGTCATTGGAACAATATGCAATTTTGGAATTCAGTGCGATTTTCTTCTCCTTTCCTTAATGAAGGCTGCAGCTGTGGTCAGGGAGCTGGCAGGACCAGGCTCTCCATCAGCCTGCTATGGCCACAAGCTCCTCTAATTGTGAGAAGCAGAAGAGGGAAAGGAAAAATGAACATATGCCCCTCTCTTGTGCTCGAGGAGACCTGGGAGTGGCCCTAACAAATCCAGTTGATAAAGCACTCACTCCTTTACACTGGTCACTCATGGTGATGAGACTGGACCTCCCACTGGAAGCATCACACCACACCTGGTACTGGTACCTTGAATCCCAAACATCTACTACTACTCATTTCAGTAGGATCCCACTTCTATAACCCTGGCCTTTGCTGTACCTGAAAGTCTATCAAAATTACATCTTATTTATTTATTTGTTTGTTTATCTCTCTTTCATTGAGACAGTGCTTCACTATGTTGCCATAGCTGGTTTCAAACTCCTGGGCTCAAGCCAATAGCTTGGATTATAGCCTGTTTCTCAATTTCTTTTAGGTTCCAACAGCTTTAGTAGTCCCGGGCAAGTCAGGAGGCACACTGGCTAAACATTCTAGCCAGAGTGAGTATCTTGTCTCCCTGTCTTGCAAGAACTTTATTTTTGAGCAATTTTTGTCTCTATTTTTCCCATGCCTGCAAGAGAGGAACTAGCAGGAACTCAAGCCTCATTTCCAGTGCAAAAGGTTTGAGAGGAGAAAGCAACCTGTTTTCACAAACTCAGGATCCTCCTAATTAGCCCCTTTCTCCAAAGCCTACCCGTAGAGTGATGGTGACGGTGTGAGGTGGCACTGCTGCCCCCTCTCTCATGCCAACTGTCTGGCAGCCTTCTGGTGAGATGCTGGCCGAACTGCTGGCAGAGCTCTAACTAACTTAGAATTTCAGAAACGTGATACCACTTGTCCATAATTTTGGGCTTAAGTGTAGTCTCTGCCAACAGGGAAGAACCCATTCAACATTCTCTGATATGTTCTTGTTTTGTGTTGTTTAGGTTAGATTGGGTTGATTTCACTGTTGTCCTTGTTGTTTGGTTTTGCTTTGCCTTGGCAAGTAACTGTGTACACTAGAGATCTAAAAACAAAACCCAAAAAACCCTTCCCCCTATAAAGCCCACCTTTGCTTTTCTAATCCCTTCTTGCCAATTCCTCTCTATTGCATTTAATGGCTGTGTTTACAGCACCCAAGGATAACTTGGGAAAAGCAACATCATAATTCAGAGTTGATAATCATCTTTCAAAGTTTCCTGTATCATGATTGATTTTTAACGTAAAATGAGGTATTCAGGCATAAGGAGATAGACAGTTTTCCTTTTCAGATCTGTCATGGAATTCTGCATTGTAGTCTACTTATGAAACTGGCCATTGCAAAATGGCTGTTACATCCAATTAGGCAGCAGTCTCCATTATGACCTATACACAAATATTTATTAAACACATAGATTCGCACATACATGATTTCCATGTACATTTATACTAACCTGCTTTTAGAAGGACTGGAATGGGAAGGAGCTTTCAGTAGGATATTAACACATGTGAGTCAATAGTCAGAAGATGGAAATGGAGCTCAATTACGTTGCTGCTCCACAGGCAGTTTTCCAAGAAGTGATATGTAAGTTCAGATACACAAGACTCAACTGCCCTTAGAATTCGCACAACCTTTGAAAGAGCTTTGATACAATGTGGACCCACCAAATAGGAAGAGGAAGCTCTGTGCTCTTCCCCTGGCTGGTTGCGGGGGTGGGGGTAACAAAAAACAAAGCAGAGAACATTCTTTTTCATCAAGCCATTAAAAAGGGAAGACATTTAGTCTTTTTGGTCCCTCACCTCTTCACACACAACAGCTTTGAAAAAAGAGAAATTATGTCCCTGTTTGCTTTTTCTAGAAAAATTATTACATAGTCTTCTCTTTTGTAACATCAGAAAAAGCGATGCACCATTAGATTCTGTCCAACCCACACGGAGAGCAGAAAGCATTATCAGTCAAGACCTGTCTGAGGGTAGGCTTTTGCCAAGAGCTCCTGGAATCTCTCCAGAGGGTTCTCTGCTTTCCTGTCAGGTGCCCGCTTCAGGTAATTCTAATCTAGCCCCGAGATCTAAAAGGATGCAGACACCAGCCCAGCAAAACAAGCAGGGGGCATGTTAGTAAGTCATAGCTCCTGGCTTTCTCCTGGAATGAGTCCTTTTCTCTGGCCACCATATGGACTTGATTCGCCCCCTGGAGAGGAGGCTGCTGCTCCTATCCTGCGACTGCTGGGGATTGTATGCCTGATAAAGGCTTCATGAACACACAAGCATGATTAAGCCTTGTATGTAATATTGGCAAGGTCTATAGGTTTGGTATATTTTCCATTAAAATGTGCACATTCTTTTATCTGTGTTTTTTTAAGAAGGGAAAATAATGGAAATATGTTCTTCTCGAATGATGAGTCTAATCACATCTCATAAATGAGGCATCATATTGAGAGCATCTTGCGCCTATGTGCAAGATGTGAATGTATTTAATGAAGAGAAATTTAAAAATTGTCAAACTCTGTTAGTATGGACCTCATCTCCTCTCCAAACAATCTCTGACCTTGAAAGCAGATTCCAGAGAGATGGGTTGTTCCAAAGACACAATGTATACATTGCTAGCTGCATGTTAACCAAGCTGCAGATTGCCTTAAACAAGCAAAGCAACATAGAGATGATCTCGGTGATGATTTCACGTGGGTCTCTTCATTACTTCTGCCAGTGCCTACATTTCGATCTCCTTGAATGGTCTGCTTCTCAGGCTCAGAAACAAGATCCTTTCCCACTAGCTTTTACTCCCATATCCTCATTAACCCTTCATCTTGAAAATAAAAGAAAAATTGGCAGTCTCTGAAAACATTCTGTTAGGGCTTTTGTGTGGTAGTTACAGGATGCCTAAATTAACCCAGAGAACTCAACTGGCAATCTTTATGACATCTATTGTTAACTCATCAGTAGACCAAAATTGCATAAACCAAGTTTTCTGCTCCTTAATTAGTCAATGGTTTCGTTTGGTGGTTTCTTCAATCAACTAATTGCAGTCTTCAAAAGAATGATACCACTAATTGGTTAAAAGAAAAGTTAAACAAAAGCCATTTTCAGAGATGACTGAAAAGGGAGAAAATGAACTCAAGATATTAAAGGGATCACGCTGCCA